AAACCATATTTATGTAGCTAGATATACTTTCATAGGCAAAAAAACGCCGACCATTCCTCCATAATTTTGCTTTCTCCAGATAATGAAAATGTCATCAGTGAGTATTCCTCTATTCTGGAAGACCAGAGGTTATACATTGATGAGACCGTGAATGATAACATCCCCCTTAACCTTCGTGTGCTCCGCTCAATCCTGGAGACCCTGAGGAGCAAAATACAAAAGCTAGAATCTGACATCTCGGCGCAGATGGATTACTGCCGCACCCCGTGCACCGTCAGCTGCAACATCCCTGTGGTGTCCGGCAAAGGTAGCGAGTCAGCAAGCAAACTCCATAGCGCTCTAGGAGATGCAGCACTCTTCAAACACAGGGACTGGAAAGTGAACACCGTAGCTTTTCCCCAGCAGAACAGAATGATCTTCTACATACTGTGGGTGTGCCCTGGACTGGTTGTGTTCTGCCTTGGCTTGTGACTCCACTGAGCTCTACTGCTTAGCATGCACGGGACATACACAGGTGGCAGGGCCGTGGGAAGATAGAGGTGTTTCCTAGTACCGTGTGTCCTATTTGTAGGGATGGGAGATAAAGGGAGCTTTATAATTCACTCGACAGAATTCTTCAAAATTTAGGTTGATTGTCAGTGAAAAGAAGGTCCAACCCATAGGACATTATTCCCAAATGCTTGTGAGAAAGCGATCCTTTGTAACTAGTGTAGTCAGAATGAGTGGCTAAAGACTATGTTTCTGTCCCTGAACCCAACGCAGCGATGCTTTCTTGCAGAATGTGAGGAGATCATTAGGAAAGGAGGGGAGACATCCGAAATGTATCTCATCCAGCCCGACACCTCCATCAAGCCATACAGAGTCTACTGTGACATGGAGACAGAAAACGGAGGTAAGCCCGGCAGCCGGCGGCTGACCTAGCGATCTGTGAGTATCCTGGCTGCTGGGAAACAAGTCTCCACTCCAACACAGCTGCCAAGGAGCCGCTGGATTGGAAATTCAATCTGGTATTTGGAAAGCTTTAAAAGACCTTTGATGCATGCATTGAGATGACATGTGGTGCCTGGCATTCCCAAATACCTTTAGACGTTTCCCCTCATACTTATTTCCTTATCATATCTACTCAGAGACCCAAACATAAGCAAATCAAAGCATATAAAATCAAACAAATGGGCGATGGGTTCAGACTCTCCTCTCAGAGTGATGTTACTACTGGTAACCTTAAGCTAATTTTATTTCTAAAGGATGGACAGTCATACAGAACCGTCAGGATGGCAGCGTCGACTTTGGCAGGCAATGGGACCCGTACAAACAAGGATTTGGAAATATTGCAACCAACGAAGATGGGAAAAAGTACTGTGGCCTGCCAGGTAAAGACTTCAGGCGCAAAATGAAATTCTTCAAGTTTAATGAGCTTTTTCTCCCATTAAAAACATCAAGAATATGGGTCTGTTTTTAGATTTCTAGGATGTTAATAGGAATTTACTTACACACATGCACATAAACACACACACACACTCACACACACACACAATAAATAAATAAATAAAAGTTAAAAAATTAAATGTGGGAGCTAAAGATATGGTGGAAGGCGGTGCGTGGTTGCCAGGGTGGAAAAACGGCGCGTGGTAGCCAGAGCCTCCTTTTTCCCCCTGATATTTTTTCATTCATTTTCACTAGGTGAATATTGGCTTGGGAACGATAAGATTAGCCAGCTTACCAGGATGGGACCCACGGAACTTCTGATCGAAATGGAGGACTGGAAAGGCGACAAAGTGAAGGCCCATTATGGAGGGTTCACAGTGCAGAATGAGGCTAACAAGTACCAAGTGTCAGTGAGCAAGTACAAAGGAACGGCTGGCAATGCCCTCATGGAGGGAGCCTCTCAGCTGGTGGGGATAAACCGAACCATGACCATCCACAACGGCATGTTCTTCAGCACGTACGACAGGGACAACGACGGCTGGTAAGCACTGCGATCTTGGCTCCTTTTTTAAAAAGTCTCCGCTAAGATCATTGCTCTGCATCATGAGTGTACCTAACATTATAAACAACTGCCCATGCTTGAACACTTGAAGTCTATCAGGCAGCCGCTGTCCGGAACTCCGGACGTATTGATTAAAAGCATCCCAACTGTAAGGCAGACATCATCTGTTTCATCCTTCAGATGACATTTAGAGAAAAAAGTTTACCCAAAGCTAGGTAACTACACAAACACAGAAAAGCAATTAGAGTGTAACTCTTTGAGCTTTGTGTATCTATAGAAACATCTGTGTTCTTATTCACTAACTGGTCTACTGAAACTACCATTTTGTATCTCAGGGTCTCTCATACTACAGTATCAGACAAATTCTTTCAGAATAAAACAATCCCATCTCTTCAGGATTAGATCAGACGGGTCCGCTGTTTCCCTTTTCTTGTTAGGGGGCAGAAAAGACCTTTGTTGTAACTCAGCTTTGCATACAGGGCAAGAGGTACCACATATAACCGAGCCCGGTACTCTCCCGTGGGTTCTCTCCAAAGAACTGACTCGACAGTGGGCCTTGCCTGCATCATCACTCGGACCCCTTTCCTTACAGGCTAACTGCAGATCCACGGAAGCAGTGCTCAAGAGAAGATGGTGGTGGATGGTGGTACAACAGATGCCACGCCGCCAATCCAAATGGCAGATACTACTGGGGTGGGCTTTACAGCTGGGACATGTCCAAGCACGGCACAGACGACGGCGTGGTATGGATGAACTGGAAGGGGTCCTGGTACTCAATGAGGAAGATATCTATGAAGATCAGACCCTTCTTCCCGCAGCAGTAGTCCCCCAAGTGCAGACTTTTATTCTTCTATGTGTGACGTTTTTTACTTTATGTTGTTGGAATGGTCTTTGTTACATTATATCCACGAAAACTCAAAACAATCTGTTGGTTGTGTCTTTTTCGGAAAGGCGTAGGATAAAGATGTTGAAAACAGCACAGTGGGTTTCTTTTGTGTTCTTTTTATTTTGCGTTTGTATTATTTTCACTTGTGTGGCTGGGTGTGGATAGGTGCACCGCAAGTGAAGGGGCCTGCAGGAGTCAGAGTGGTCAGATTGTCCCAGAGCTGGGGTTACAGTGGCTGTGAGCCTCCTGATGTAGGAGCTGGAGTCAGATCGTCTTCATCTCTCGTCTGCATTTACCTTCCATGCAGAGAATTAACGAGAAGGGCGCAATAAACAGAGCCTGCTGACTCCAGCTGACTGTGCAGCTTTTCAGGCGAGGCACCGTCTGTCCCTGTTGGAGAAAAGCATTACACAAATGAAAGCCAATGTTTATAAGTCTGGTTTCAAAACCCCATTTATTCATGTAAGGCATCTTGCAAAAGATCATCTTTCTAACAGGTTATTACATAAACCTGCCCCTGTTATCATAAATTATTGTTTTCTTATTTGGGGGTCCGTGCTGGCAGGATCTGAATTTGTAGGCAGGAAAGTGTGTGTGCACGATCTCAGATGTCTGCTGAGCTGACGTCGAGCAGCTGAAGAGTCCATAGGGGAGGAGTCCGTGGGGAAAGGACCGTTCTGCCTCTCAAGAGGACCTCTGGCCGGAGTCCAGGCAAGCAGTTAGATGAAGTCTCACCGTGTCTCTTAGGGAAATGGTGAACGGGGAGTCCCAGTTTTCCCCGTCATCCTCAGATTGTTCTTTCCATCTATAGTTACAGTGGAACTAAGGTAGAAGTAGATTTTTCTATCCTTTATAGCTCTACCCATGGGCACCCATTACAACACTCCTTCAGTGAATCCCAGCTCAGTGCTCCTTCCCCGCCATTGTCCTTGCTGCCTATTGTACAGACTTAGTGTCCCGAATCCCATCTTCTCAGTTCTCACTTACTTGAGCAAAGATTAATTTGCTGCTCAGAAATGCTCTCTCTTGTCCCGTTGCTTTATTTTTGCCTGGCCTTGTGGCCATAGATGCTACCAATCACAGTCTATGGCACACCTGCCGTTCTGGTATCTTATCTTCTGCGTTGCCCCAGAGACAGGCAATTCTGCCCAAGTTACCTACCTGCTTAAAGTTAGCTCTTTACTTCCAATGTCTGAATGCCTTGCACCCGAGTCCTATTCTTAGAGGGGGATCATTACCATCTTCCATTACCATCTCTTGCCCCTTTCATCACACGCCTGCATCTCACACACATACACCAAACAAACCAACCAAGAAACCTGTCTACATATGCTTGCACATACTCACACTAAAATCAAATCTCTTTACTGCACACATGCTCACACGCATGCTCACACATGCCCTTTGCCCACATGGTATTACATCCATAACCTCCTGAACTTCCCTAGTGTCTTTCTGCTTTATTTCATTGTCTTAAGGTACCAACACTTGACATGAGATCATTTTTAAGTGCACAATCTTGCACGTCTGACTACAGGGGAGCTCTAGAACTTGCTCATTCCCCTAACTTCACACACATCAAAATTTCCCCCTTCTCCCCTCCCATCCCATGCCTACCATCATCCTGTTGTTAATGAGAATATAAAATAAAGAGACCACTGTACAAAACGTGAATTCCTCAAAACACGAATTGATTTGGTGATCCAACAACCCCACTCCTGAGAAAAAGAAAATGTCCAAACACCTGAAGTTAAAGTCTTGAGGAACTGCCTGCACTCCTGTGAACATCACTCTGGCCAGACCCAGCAGTGTGCTTCCCCCAATGCAATCTGAAAAATTACTGTTGATTTTGAAATTCCCTTCCTTTCCCTGCTCCCCTCTCTCCCCCGCCATCATCTGTTGACCCTCAGGACTTTCTGAAAGTCTTTGGAACTAACTGACTCACATTTTAGCAATGAATGCCAGACTTTGGGCTGTTGCTTTTGCTACCCTGAGAAACTTTTCTTCAGCTTTGATTTCAGCCTGGACAGATTGTAATTTTGTAAACCTCGAATGAATAAACCCCAAGAACTTCAAGGCCTTGGATGTCTCTCTTTCTTTTATATGTAGGCTGTTTTTCTAACAAAGGCACACACACACACACACACACACACACACACAATCAAAATGCAGACGACTTGGAAGTAGAATTTGGAAGTACAAAAGTTCTGTGGGTTAAGACAGGTGGAAAGCATGACCCTCTGACCTTTGCTCTCTCCCTTAAGCAAACACAGAGGGCGGAATGAGTCCCTGGAACCTAAAGTAAAGCCAGTCGAACCACGGCAGCAGAGACTATCAGGTCCACTTTTAGTGGTCAAAGTGCAGACGTAGGTGCCTCTTGAGCAATCTGTCATGTGGAAATCCATCTAGAAAAGTAGTGTTGAGGTTCATCCAGCTCAGTCTGCAGAGATTTCCCGGTACTAACCTTTATTTACTATAAAGATCCTTTGCTTTTCAATAAACAGCCTAAGAACTTCTGATCGCTAGCTGGTTTTCGGAATTAGCAATATGCTCATGCTTATTTGAGGCTCTTTTGGTCCTTCTGACCTAGTGCTAGTCTGACGACAATGGTGACCACGGAGCACTGCTGAGCAATGGTGACCACGGAGCACTGCTGAGCAATGGTGACCACGGAGCCCTGTTGAGCAATGGTGACCACGGAGCACTGCTGAGCACATCGCCAGCCCTGAACCTGCTATGACTTCATAGGTGACCAATTGCCCAGGTTTAAGGGGACTTGGGCTTAACATGTCTCCAAAGGCTAAAACCAGATAAAAATCATTTTACCTATCAGGTTCATGTGATTCTCTCAGTTGGACTTTAAGTTCCTTTGAAGTATACCCATTGGTTATCTATAGATCTAAAACTATCACATCCACTCTCCGGCCCCCATGTCACTTCTCAGGCAAATGTGATCGAAGGGCAGTGTGCTACTGTTTGTTGTCCTGATTATATTTAGTTCTTGTCTTAACACTCTATTTTGAAAGGCTCAGACAGAAGAGCAATTTCAGGAAGAGTTTAATGAGTACCCTGTGTCCTTCACCCATAGCCAGCGACCGCTACGTGTGCTGGATCTCCCCAAAGGAGAGGCCCAGCACAGTTTTGCAACCCCTTGTGTAGGTGTGCAAACTTGGGGTCAGGGACCGTGTGGCCGGGTCAAAGGTGAGCTTAGCAAATGTTTTCTAGAGCCCTCTGTTGCAATCACCGCCATCACCCACCTTCAGCAATGAGCTGACAGACAGCTAGACCTCTGCTCAGCCATCACAGGGGACGGCTCGCAGTGCTTTCAAGCTGACTTGACTTTACAGGGCCCAGGTTTGTGTAAGAATGAAATCGTCTCTCCTCCTCAGGTGTCAGTTTCTTATCCTCACATGCCTCTCTGTGGTACTTAAGGCCTTCCCTGCTCTTGCCTTTAGTTAAGCATGGATATTACCCTATGCTTGAAATTTCTACAGCACTCAGTTTAAAGCAATCCTTCCAGCTGGGTGTGGTGCCCCACGCCATTAATTCTAGCAACTTTGGAAGCTGACGTAGGTGCATCTGTGAGTTCAAGGCCAGCCTGGCCTACATTGTGAGTTTCAGGACATTCAGAGCTATTTAAAGAGACTCTGTCTCAAAAAACAAGCTAACTAACTAACTAAATTCCCAACCATCAGTGAGGTAGCAAATGCATAAATAGGAGAATAAATCAAGTATATTTCAGAAATTGTTTTTGTGTAAAGACTGTCACCTATGAGAACTTGTGTTATTACCAGGGCTAATAAATAAACATCTATCGCCCCTAACTGTTTCAGTAAACGCTAAGTGACCCACTGTCTTTCTGTTTTTATGATCAAACAAGAAAACATGCTGACAAAAAGCAGCTTATGGGGTCCCTGCAGTTCCTGGTCATAGTCCATATCAACAGGGAGACCAAAGTGGCAGGAACCAAAGACAGTCTTCACGACCGCATGCACGCGTCTAGGATTTAGTTCCCTCTCCTCTTCTGTTTTAGACAGCCCAGGACCCAAATCCAGGGAATGGGGCCACCCACTGTGAGTTCTGCCTTTTCCCGTCAAACACACCCCCAGAGACATGCCTGTTCAGAGAATGGAGTTACCTGGCTTTGGTCCGAGTGTGGCTTTTGTTTTGTATTTCATTGTTTGTCACTTCAGAAAGACTTGAAGACAGTGATCTGCTTATTCTGCTACACGTTCTTTAAATCAACTTAGAACAAATCAGGCCATTAAAACTTGATTTTATTTTTCATTGCTTCACATGCATATGCCTCTCTCTTGCTCTCTCTCTCTCTCTTTCTCTCTCTCTCTCTCTCTCTCTCTCTCTCTCTGTGTGTGTGTGTGTGTGTGTGTGTGTGTGTGTGTGTGTATTTGACTGGCTGGCTGGCTGGTTGTCTCCTGGTTTAGGGATAAAAAGGAAGAAGTAGATTTACTTTCAAATTGACAGGTAGTTTCTAAGCAAATGATGTGAAAGCCAGCCACAAAGAGTTGAGATTTTCCTTTATGAAAATGGCAGACTAAAGTTTTTTTTTTAATGTTATCAATGTGCATTGACATCTCACACTATATGTGGCAGGCCATTTCTCCATCTTCCATACAAACACAGTGTGCAGTGTGTCTCCCTGCCTTCCCACTGCTGCAGGGAGTCTCGCCACAGTCTCCTGGATGCCCAGCATCCCACCCCAGGACAATAGTTCTCTAGCTGTGTTCTTCACTTACCACACAATGGAAAGGATGCCAAACGCTGCTTCTGTGCTGTTGCTTTTGCTGCTTAGTTAGTCTGAAGCCCTGGGACTGCCCATGTGTCTGAAAGCAAGAGACTAAGATTTTAAGGAACTAAAGAAACCATGTATGGCAAAACGACCCTGTGCTGTTGAGGGCAGTCTTTTCACAAGCCTTAGGAGAGCAGTTGGAGAGAATCCACAGGATTCATCCTCCACCATGTATACCATGGGCTGAAGGGAGCAATACTTAAGAAGCCAATGATGCTAGAAGATTCAAAAGTTAATGACATTTAGCTTTTGTATTTCCCCTGCCTTTTAATCTAGATTTATTTTCTTAATAGCCTACTTTAGTGGGTTTTTTTTCTTTTGAATGACAACTAATTTTTTCTCAGACAAAGGATTGTTTAAGGAACAGTTTTTTTCTGAATTTTAAGACTTTTTGCACTGTGTGTGTGTGAGAGAGACAGACACAGAGAGAGAGAGAGACAGAGAGAGAGAGAGAGAGAGAGAGAGAGAGAGAGAGAGAGAGAATGAGGGCATGAGTATGCCATGGCCTGCGTGGAGCGGTCTGAGAAATACTCTCTCTATCCCCCTTGTTAGGTCACGGTCTCTCTCATTTCTGCCCTGCTGTGTTCTCTAGGCTGGCTGGACCAGAAGGATTTGGATGAGTCTCCTGTCTCTACCTGCCATCTCACAGTGGAAGTGCGGGGATTACTGGGATCAAACTCTGGCCATCAGGTTTCTGTGTCAAGTACTTTACCTGCTGAGCTGTCTCATTTGCTCAGGTTCCTAAGTTAATTTTTAGACTATTCTTTTTAAAAAATATTGTGTGTATTTAGTGTATGCCTCCGTGCGTGGATGAAACCTGAGTGGGTCACTTCTTTCTACCATGTTTTTTTTTTTTTTTGTTCCCAGACTGAACTCAGATCAGCAGGCTCAGCAATAAATACCTTTACCTACTAAACCATCAATCGAGGAACATTAAGATCACATGAACTTTGATTTTATAATAGAGAGGCTCAGTTGCGGGCAGTCATTTGCTGTCTTGCTGTACGGTAAAGAACTGACAGGGAGTTTTAGGACATGATTCAAATACAGGATGCTTACGGTTGGAATGTTGCCAAAACGATTGAATTTATACTTGTCAGTTTGGGGATGGAGTATCAAGCCACATTCCATTCACTTTAGTGGGCTTCTTAACTACCCACAACAACAACAACTGTACTCTTTATGAAAGGCCTGTCAGTGTTCCTGCAGACACGTCTGCCTTTTTGGCTTCTAGAAGTCTTATATTCCTTTAACACTAGCTTTTACTGAGTCAGTACCTAGTAAAGGTGGGGGAGGGGGCTTTATTTGCTTCCTGTGTGTATTTACTATCAGTGTGCCCTGCAGTCTCCGGTGGGGATACCCACATATATGTTAAAGGTAATTAATTGTATGTTCTTGCAGCTCGTGCATGCTCTAGCAGACTTTGTATTTGACGTCCCTTCAGAGACAAATGCTTAGACTTAAACATACATTCTCTGTTCTCAACATGCTCAACAGGAAGCTGTACGTGTCTGCACCAAGTGAGAAAGGCTCTGGAATACTTTTGCTTCTTAAGCCTTTCTTTTATTAAGGACTTTTTCCCCCCTCTATTGGCGTGGAACTTGTGTAGACCAGGCTGGCCTTGAAGTTGCATGGGTTCTATGCGCATGGAACTTGGTGTGTAGACCAGGCTGGCTTTGAAGCTGCATGGATTCTATTGGCGGGAAACTTGATGTGTAGACCAGGCTGGCCTTGAAGTTGCATGCATTCTATTGGCATGGAACTTGGTGTGTAGACCGGGCTGACCTTGTAGTTGCATGGATTCTCCTGAGTGCTGAAATTACAAGCATCCACTGAGGATTGAAATTACAGCTCACTGAGGATTGAAAACGCTCTAATCTCCCCTCAAATCATGTATGTGACTAGATAGTTATGGTGACCCAGGCTGATACAGGACTCTACTCAGGCTTCGTGTAACGTTAAGATGCATCATGGCTGTTGACCTGTAGTGACCGGCCAGGGGCCCCTTGTTTGAACAAATTTCCCATGTGTCCAGTGTGCATATGAAGAAGTGACAAGAGCATTCTAAGTCTCATTTCATGGTGCTCAGGAAGAGGGGAGGCATCACTTTTGAAGGTGCCTATGCGTGCTCCCTGAATCCTCCATGTTGCCTCTACTAGGTCACCCCTGTAGCTCTGCTAGATAGCTTCCATAGCATAGGTTAGTCCTGGTATTATCCCCTTATGTTAGCTCTGCTTGGTTACCCCCAGAGCATAGGCTAACTCTGCTAGCTATCCTCATAGCATAGGTTAACTCTGCTATTATCCCCTTAGCACAGGTTAGCTCTGCTAGCTACCCCCATAGCACAGGTTAGCTCTGCTAGGTAACTTCTATAGCACAGACTTTAGCTCTATTACGTTGAAATTCACCAGTTTTTCTTCCCTCTTCCTCTCCCAGACGAGACTAGGTGGCTCTGTCTTCCTGTGCTTGGCTTGCTGCACCTTGTAGCCCTTTGTACTCAGACTGGAATCAGGCAAGGAGCCCAGAAGATGACCTCTAACCTCTGGTAAGTGAGACCCTGTGTCCTCGAACACTGTGCTTTCAAGCATCTGTTCCCATCCGTCCTCAGGGGAGACAACTGCCGGCTCCCCGCCTCGAGAAGTGAACAGCTGCAATTCTTGAGGTCTAAAGCAGAGCACCTGAGTTTTCCGCAGGAACTCAGCAGTGGTTCCGCCCCCTCCCCCACCCAGTACAATCCTCCAATCCAACACCTATTCTTGGTAAAGCTTAGAAATGTCCTTTTCTTACAGTGAACAAACCTAGAGTTGGAATTTGGAGTTATCACCTTATCAGAAAAAAAAATATTGATAGCTGTGAATATAACAAACTGAAGTGAACTGATTCTTAAAAATGGTTCTTTTATAAATCCAGAAGCATGTCACTAGGCAGTGGGTTTTATGGTGTGGCTGGGGAAGGGCTGGTGAGTTTCTTCCAACAAACTCCAGTTTAGAAACCAGGAGAGTGCTGGGAAAGTAAGAGTGGCACTTAGTACAAAGAGCAACCAGACAGGCTTGGGGAAGGGCCAGGCAGCCCTGTTGGTGTGGATTATTGTGGAGAGGAGGGGGCGGCAACTTAGGTGCTTTCTCTGCCTGCATCACTGATAACTACAGTGGGGAAAAACAAACAACAAACAAACAAACAAACAACAAAACCTTCTGTGCCTGGGCCTTGGCTCAGTCAGTAAAGATCCGGCCGTGTGCAAACAGAAGAATCTGTCAACTCCCCAACAACCACACAATAAGCCAGGAGCAGCGACACACCCTGGTAACCCCATCAGTTGGATCTGTGGGGCTCACAGACCAGTCAGTCTAGAAAAACTGGCAGACTCCAGGTTCCGTGAGAGACCCTGTCTCAAAGCGCAATGAGGAGAGCCCGAGGAGAGCCGCTGACAGGAAAGCACCAGAGGCTATTTAGTCTGAGCCAAAGGTCAGCTTAAAACCCAGGAAATCGAATGTGTGAACTAACTTGTGTCCTCCCAGGGGGCCTGTGACTGGCGGTCTGAGAAGAGCCATGTTTAAATCAGCACCCTTCACGGAGGCCAAGAAGAGCTCAGGTTTGACTCCCTCTTCCTGACGGAATGAATATTCCTCGGCATCCCCTTGCAAAAGCTTTGAAACTCACAGAAGTATTTAAAGGTTAAAAAAAAGGATAATTTTATTTTTCGAAGGAGGAATATATCTCTGTTACAGTTAGCTACAGTACAAAGAACAATAAAATAGCACCTGGGAACTTGTAAGACTCTGACAAGATTCTTGACTCCATCTTTCTTATTTAGCCCCCCACACCACATCGCGCAGATCGGAAGAGCGATGTGATGTG